GATAAACATTTATGACAACAGTTATTGCATGTTGGTTTTCTATCTCGCCCCCCCCCCAAAAAAACCTGCCTTATTGGAGAAAACTTGGTCAGAAATACATATCATAGGTATATAAAATCCTTTAATTTTTTCTCCTTATAATCTCCTCTTTGGTGTTCAGCTCAGGTCTCAGTATCATAATGTAGCACTTAGGAGAAAAGATACAAACCAGCAAACCAGCACTGGAGGCCAAGATTGAGAAGATCTCCACAGCTACCATGTATTTCCCTTTGCTGCTGAGATAGGTTGGAACAAAGGATACCCACACACTGCAAAACAACAGCATGCTGAAGGTGATGAACTTGGATTCATTAAAACTGTCAGGCAGCTTCCTAGCTAGGAAAGCTACAACCAGAGTGATAATGGAGAGAAATCCCATGTAGCCTAAGACAATATAAAACATGGTGACAGAGCCTTCATTACACTCTGCCACGATCTCTTCATCAAGTGACTGCATATCAAAATGTGGGAAAGGGGGTGTGGTTTCTAACCACACTGTACAAATGCCTGTTTGAAGAAGAGAGCAGAAAAGGATCGTGAAAGTGGTCAGTCTTTTCCCCACCCATTTTCTCATGTTGGACCCTGGTTTTGTAGCCATGAAAGCTCCAATCACAGTGATGGTCTTGGCCAAAACACAAGAAACAGCCACTGAGAAAATAATACCAAAAGCAGATTGTCTAAACAAACAGGTAAGTTTTCTAGGGGGTCCAAGAAACAAAAAAGTGCACAGAAAGCAGAGCAGGAGTGAAATGAGGAGAATGTAGGTGATATCCCTGTTGTTGGCTTTGACTATGGGAGTATTTCTGTGTTTAATGAAAATTCCTAGCATCAAAACTGTGACCAGGGAAAAAGAAACAGCCACTGAAGCCAAGCTAATCCCCAAAGGTTCTTCAACAGATAGGAAGGTTATAACTTTGGGGACACATCCATCTTGGTCCTTGCTGGGATACTGATGTTCTGGGCATCTGATGCAATCATCCATGTCTGAAAAAAACAAAAGGGATAGGGGCCATTGCAGAGGGAACTTGTGTTCACCTTTAGTGTGGGATATTTGTAAGATATGTTACTCACAGGGCTATTTTTGGGCAGGAACGCACCGGAACGGAGTTCCAGCTGGCTTCAGAGTTGGCCACGCCCACTGCAGCCAAAACCTCAGTGTGCCTGGCTACAGATGGAAGTCCTGGAGAGTGACCCACCCTGGCGACTCCAAGGCGGGCAGGCAAGGGGGGAGCCTTGGAGGGATCAGGGAGGTGTT